CTCTGAATTATAAGTTGCACATGGCTAATCGTGATCAAAGCATTTTTGAAAAGATTGCAAAACAGACAAGCTGAAAACAAGTGTCTCTTGCTGTGTTTGTGTCATTTGATTAAGCAATAGGAAGCCAGTGGTTTAAGGACTCATGGCAGTATTCATTTATAAAAGTACAGAGATCTCTCTGGTTACCAAAGGGCTACACAGTGGCAAACAGACTAATAGCGGATTCCAATTTGATTTTCCTTTTAGGTATATTTTTAAATAGATTAGCAAAAGACTGAAAAGGCAGTTTTAAATGCCATTTATTCATTCTACCTTTACTGTTAAATCCTTAGGCACAGGCTAGGCAAAGATAAGCTTATTATTTTTTTTACAAGTAGAGTGGCGCTTCTTAGGGTAGTGTTTTAAATAAACAGAGCACATTGGAGGGAATCTATATATCTGAATTTCTCTTTGTAGAGTTGGCTAGCTAACAAATTATAACCTGTTGAAAATGATAAAATACACACAAATACAAACGTCTATTCATTAATAGGCCTTAATTATGTCTAAGAATTTGGTCATAGAAATTGTGAGCACCCACTCAGAAAGTTTCCAAGTTTATGTTGTACTACTGTATCTTTATTGCTCTAGTGCAATATGCTGTAATTTTGTTAGCCCAGTTTTCACAGATAGCAGGTTTTATTAAACTAAAAATTGCATTCATGGATGTAGTACATAGCATTTGTGCTATCATTATTAAGCTTACTCTAAGTGGCATAAATAATAAAAATAAGTTCTTGCTCGCCCTGGCCGGTTTTGCTCAGTGGTTAGAGCGTCAGCCCGCGGTCTGGAGAGTCTCAGGTTCAGTTCCCACTAAGGGCACGTACCTTGGTTGCAGTTTGTCCCTGGTCCCATTTGGGGTTGTGTGGGTGGCAACCACTCGATGTGTCTCTCTCACGTCGATATCTCTCTCTCTCTCTTCCTCCCTCTCTCCTTCCCACTCTATCTGAAGATAAATGCAAAAATGTCCTTGGGTGAGGAAAAAAAAAACAATAAGCGCTTGCTCTCTCTTAGTTTTTTGCACTCACTGGCTTTGTCATGCGCTAACCCTCTCTCTCTCTCTCTCTCTCATCCTTCCACCTTGTATGGATGGCTATCTTAGCTTCATGTTGAAATGCCATGTTGTAATTGAACTTTATAATATATCTATCTCTAATCCCTCCCACTAGATTGTAATCCTGCATGGGAATTTCTGTTATTTTTCTTTAGATATTTTAGAGAACCTAAAATAAAGTTTTTATGCATGTAACACGCACCCAAGAAATACTGTTGAAATGGCTACTAAATACTCTTTTGTATAATCATTTAAGATTTTAGTGCATTATAGTTGGAACTTCTGTCAGTGTTCATTAATCTAATGAACAAAATAAACTGATGAACAAAATAGAAATAGAGGCATGGATACATGGAACAGACTGACAGCTGTCAGGGCGGAGGGACTGGATGAAAGAAGGTGAAGGGATTAAACAAAGAACATATATGCATAGTCCAAGGACACAGACAACAGTGTGGTATTGGTCAGAGGGAAGGGGTGTGAGGGCCAGGCGGAGGTGGGCAAAGGCAGGAAGTGGAACATCTGTAACAGTGTCAACAATAAACATAAAGTTAAAAAGCAAACTTAAAAAACAGTGTTAGCTAAGACAATGTGACAGAGGTTGATTATAAAACAAGATAAAACCCCACCCACCTTGATTAAATGTTTTATGGTAGACTGGCCCTTTACGAAAAAGTCTAGTTTTCCTATTTGAAGCATGATTATTGAACTTTTGTTCTTCCTTTGAAAGTTAAGCATTCGCCAGGCCTGTGTGGCTCAGTGATTGTCAACCCACACACCAAAAGGTCGCCAGTTCGATTGCTGGTCAGGGCACATGCCCAGGTTGTGGGCCTGATCCCCAGTGAGGGGCATGCAAGAGACAGCCAATCGATGTTTCTATCTCTCCCTCTCACTTCCTCTCTCTAAAATCAATATTTTTCTTTAAATAAAAGAAAGTTTAACATTCCCATTGGCCTGTTCTAAAGCAGATACAGATACTTTGTCAGTTTCCTCCCTTTGAAGAAACTTTACCCTTGTCATGACAGACAAGAGGTTACTGAGGCTTGCTGGAAAGCAACTGTTTCCTCCAGGTGGTGGTTCCTCAGTAGCTCTTTTCTGGGTCTTTGGAGGGAAGGATACCTTGAGTTTCAAACCCTGACATAACTGGGAAGAAATAACCGAGCATTCACTAGATGGAGGTGAGGGGTATGGTTTGCTCTTTGAAGAAGATTGATTTAAAAATTCCTGGACAGTGCCATTGTCTAATTGGAAGTGCATTTATGTGGTGAAAAGAATATCTGTAACTTTTAACTCCAAAATATTTCCTGTAGGAAATTGAAATTTTGTTCTTTAGGGAACACTTGTGACACCCATTCCTAATTTGTCTTGCTTTGTACGGTTTTCAGTCATATGTATTTATTGTGCCCCTTTAATTCACAATGGAGAATTAGGAAATTAGCATCACCTGGAGCCCCTTTATCAGGATGTGTTGTAGTGAACATATGCTTGTAAGTGTATAACAAAAGCAATGACTTTTTTTTGGGGGGGGGGTACATGCCCCTAGCGGAAACCGAACCCGGGACTCTCTGGTCCTCAGGCTCATGCTCAACCGCTGAGCCAAACTGGCCAGGGCATGACTCTTTAGATATAAAATATCCCTTGTTGGAAATAATCTTGATTTGTGAAATTCTGAATTTACAGATACAATCAAATTAGTAAGCACCTTTTTTTAATTTTTTTTATTTTATTTTTTTTTACATTTCCTGAAGATTAAAAACTGAACAAATGTTCACATTTGACGGGACAGAACCTACTGAAAAAGTGTTATTAAGGCCCATTCTCTTCAGCCTTATGGAGATGTAGAGCACTACAGGAGGCTTGTGTACTTATTGTCAGGTAGTTCCATAGCATGGGTGAAATACTTGTGGTCCAGAGATAATGGCTGGAGGATAAAGATATCAGTGAAGGTAAACTATAATGCCAGTGATACCAGGCCTGGCCATCATCTTAACCCAGCATAGTAAAGCTCTCAACATAGTAAATATTCACTGAGGTAAGAAAGCTTCAAAGAGTCATTTATCTTAAAGGTCCTCTGCCTTTTTTCTCACACAAACATGACACATATGTATAATTTTTAGCTTGTTAGCTAAACATTATCTCTTCATTAATTAAAAAATATCTGTTGCAGTGGCAAGTGCCTGAAAGTACCATCTTTATGAGGCATTTTACATTAAATTTGTAAATTTGCAAATGATTGACAAATTACTTGATAAAATTTACACTAACTGAACACTTTCTATTGTAGCACATAGATTGAAAACCATTGATTTAACTGAACCTTCCATCAAGTGTCTAGTCCAGAGATTTTCAACCTTTTTCATCACATGTAAACTAATTTCTAAAATTCTGTGACTCACCAAAAAATATATTTTTGCCAATCTGACAAAAAAAAGTATAATTTTTGATTCATTCATATGGGATGGCTATTGTTGTGTTGGCTGTTGTCCTTTTTTTTTAAATTTGACAATCTAAAGGAAAATAGGTCAGGACTCTTGACTAAATAGTCAGGTGTTACATGTTTTAAGAATTATTGCAGCACACTGGTTGAAAATCGCTGGGCTAGTCACTCCTGATTATTTGACTTTTACATTAATTTTTCTTAAAATTAAAAAGAGGGCATATGTTATATTTAGTACTGAAAATTTGATTTTATAAACTAATGAGGAAATAAAATTACTGTTAGAAAAATTCCTAATCATTAAAGAAGGGCATTTTATACTCATCTAAATAACCTATAGAAATTTCAGTTTTATTGGGAGAAAATGAGAGTTTTTTTGTCTGTGGTTATATAACGAGAGAGAAAATTACACACAAGCAAGTTAGAAGGACAAAAACACAAACTTATGTGTGTGTGGATGTGTGGATGTAAATCCAGAGAGGACTTGACTGTACAGAAGTTTTTCATTTTGTATTTTTATTTCCACTGGGAAGACTGCTTTCTTTTGATTTTATGTTTCTGATGATTCTACCCCATCGGTGTTTTTACTCTGACTCCATGAAGAAACGTTTGATTATGCTCTGCAGCTCAGAAATGTTAAGTAAAAGTTTTAAATTTGGACAAATTACCAAGGATGTGTGAATTAAGGTTCTAAAAGAAATGATATTAGAGGAGAAGTCTAACTGAAAAGTATTAATTTTACTACTTTAAAATTCTCTTTTAGATATGATTAGGAGGCAAAATAAATATATTGTCTCTACCTGTTTACCTAGCTGAAGAAGTAGCACCGATGCACATGAAAGAAACCTTAGCAACACATGTTAAGGACTAGTGAATGGTACAAGTGTATTCTAGACCTAGTATACAAGCAGACTTAGCTCTTCTATCTTCTTATTTAGTTTCTGTTCTAAACAGTGAAACATTGAGATGTACAGTGACTCTGAGGCTTGTAACATTCTCAAGGAAAGATTAATTTCTGTTCACTATATGATGTTTGTTAACACAGGTGGTAGACTTGGGTCGTTTGCAAAGACTCTCAGGAAGGGCTGAAACTAAGAAAGGCTTGTTAATAATCAGAAAACAATGCTTCTCACTACTCATACTTTTGAGTTAACTGCATTTTAGGTTATTGATATGCATCAGCTAGCCTTACTTTCGCATCATTAGACGTGGGAATTTTCAATGAAAAAAAAAAAGAAAAAGTCAGATTGATAAAAGGATATGTGGTCTGAAAACTCTTCAAACTACTTGTGAGACATTGTTGATAACAATATAATAAAGAGGGAAAACCATATATCTTTTGTGCAACCACAAATCTTGATCCATGTCTGAATTTATTTATGCTAGTTCACAAACACTGACTTCTGTTGAATTTGAAAATAACAGAGGTTGTTTGTTCAACAATATAGTTTCTTGTCCTTTGGGTTCTAGATTAAGAAGAAACAGCAAGATGTGCTTGGTTTTTTAGAAGCTAACAAAATAGGATTTGAAGAAAAAGATATTGCCGCCAATGAAGAAAATCGGAAGTGGATGAGAGAAAATGTACCTGAAAACAGTCGACCAGCCACAGGTTACCCCCTACCACCTCAGATTTTCAATGAAAGCCAGTACCGTGGGGTAAGGAATCAATTTAAATACTTGGGATTTTTTTTCACATAAATTGCCTCAAATTCACTCTATCCATTTCACCTTCTTGCCCAAATCGTCATATAATCATTTCCCCTGTTCATTCTTTGCACCCATCCTAGGCAGCTGAGGTATTTTGCCTATAGCTAGGAGGTAAATGAATGAGTCATACACCAAAAATTACCTGTTAATGTATAAATACAGATTTTGGACATAGAGCTTTACATTTTTCTTCATCTTAATTCCAACCAAAGCAATTGTATTATTGTTTTTGGTATGTCCATGAAGGAGTCTCTGAAAAGAGGTCAGCCATTAGACTTATTTAGATTAATATTAGTTTAGAAAAAAAAAAGTCTTATTTTCTGCTTGAAACTAATAATACTTTTATCTTGGTATCATTAATGAATGTTGTTAAAATTTTAATTCAGCTCATTATAATGAGAGAATTTATTTATTTATTTACTTTGCTTTGTGATTGGTGCTTTCAAGTATGCTATCTTGTTTAGTCTTCATTTAAGGCATGGGGTATTTTCCTTCATTCTTCATTCACTATATATTTAAGTACCATTTGTAGCTTATGGCCATTCTAAGCACAATGGCAAGTAGAAATATAAATAAAACACCACCTCTTCTTCTAAGGAGCTGGTTAGGGGTGGGGTGTGGGAACAATCAGAGAGTGGTTATGAAGTCATGGTACAGAAAGCATATGCAAGGACTATAAGAATTTATAATAGAGAATTGTTTGCATCACTATATCCTCAAAATTAGCATGACCGAGGAACAAATGTCTTTAGAGCCAGGAATCTAGATCTTCTAGCTCATAGGTTTATATGGGAGTGAGATTGACACTTTTTGGTGGTAATCTTTTCATGTACCAATTCAAAGCATATAAGGGATGGGCATAGCAAATTTGAGCTCGTTGGCACAATAGAGTTTGTCTGTGAATTAAATTAGTCACTTCTGAGGAAGAGGGGGTCTGAAAATTTCTTCTCTTGCTGCAAACACAGCCAGTGTGTAAAGACAAACTCTGCAGGTAAGGGAAAGGCTATGCATTTGGATAGTGAAACCTCAGTCTCTCTATATTTGACATTTCTGAAGATTGGTAAATCGAAGGGGTTGGAAGAAGCCTCAGGGTTCATACAGCCCAATCTAAGGCAGTATATATTGTCTTAACCTCTCCTTTTGAAAGCAGATATTTCAATTTGTTTTACTTTTGAAAATAAATATACTTTGGGTTATAAGGGTAATGTTTGAGAAATCACATTTACCTGGTTTGTTTCTCCTTTGGAAGCCACACTGTAAAGGAATGGAGTATGTTATGGAAATCAGGCGAGTATCACTAAGAAATGGGAAGATGGAAAGGAAGGGGCAAGAGGTGAGACTCAAGCAAACAAACACATAAACATTACTTAGTGGAAAAGGAATCCAACCTCTAGTGAGTGCTAGCTGTGTGCCAGGCACTATTAGGAGTTTAATAACAGTAAGAATAAAGATTTGTCCCTATACAGACACTCAGAAGAGTATATAGAAACCATTCATACAAAACGTATTGCATATCAGCTATTAATGCTACATGTTTTGTGTGTATTACGTCTGTCAGTTCTCATGCTACTCTCCTGATGTAGATAACTGTTATTCTTATTTTATACATGAAGAAGTTGAGGTCTAGAAGAGTTTAACTGACTTCATAAATTACACAATTAATAAGTGATGCAGCTAGGACTTAAACCTAGATATGTCTTACTCTGAAGCTCTTACTCTTTCTATTTAATCACTGCATTGTTCATTTCCCTATTTACTCAAAATTCCCATCTTCATTATTTTCTTGCTCCATTATTTGGCAGGTCTGACTGCAGCAAATTACATGTCCTAATCTACATTGCCAAATGGCTGCAATGTAGCCAACTGGCTGCATTAGGTTTGGCTGAGAATAGGAGGTACTGGTTGGAAGAGTGGAGGACAGGAGGAGAGGAAAAGCCAAAGTATCCCCCTCCTTTCAATCTGGAGGGTCCATGAAAGTGGCTGAATCTCCTTTATGGTACCAGCTCTACCAGGTACCCCAGCTCCTGGGTCCAGTAATACCACCTTCTTCACTTTTTCCTTCTGCCTTAGATTTTGTAGCAGCTTCCTGCTGTTTGCTAATCTCTGGGTTGTCTCACCATCGTATGTTTGTCTTTCAGCTTTTTAATGTTTTCTAAGTAGTTCTTCATATTAAATTCCCTGTTTAAACTATCTCAAGTTTTCTTAACCTTGGCACTACTGACATCTTGGGTTGGACAATATTTTATTTTGGACAGCTGCCCTGCACATTTAAGAATTTTTAGCAGCATCCCTGTCTTTTATTCTTGAATGTCAGTAGAACCCTCACAGCTGTGAAAAGCCAAATTTGTCTCCAGACTTTGCCAGATGTCCCTGTGGGAAATATTACCTCCTATTGAAAAACAGTGAACTATGGTGGCTGATGTTCTTATTTCCAGATTGGAATATGACTGAAACAGTTACCCTACCTACATATATGAGACTCTGATATAGAAGGTACAAAATTTATAAAGTAATCTTTGTTCTGCAAGAGCCTATGTTTGTATATGGAGAACTAAAACACATTCCATGAAATGATAAATAATGTGATACCAATATATGGTAGAATACATTCTGGGTTAATGTTATTGGAATCTCAGAGATGCAAATAAATTATTTTTTCTCAAGAGAATTCCTACATAAGAAGCAGATTATGTCACAGTCTGTTCTGTTTTCTCTTGTATTCTCAGCACCAAGAACAGTGATTGGAATGTAGTAGGTGTTCAATACATATTTGCAGAGTAAATTTTTAATCTGGTTTAGCTGAGAAAGTAATGTTCTTTTTTCTCAGTTACAAACCTGTTTGTGCTTGCTAAGTCCAAGGCCAACAAATGGTAATCTATTTTGATTCTTAAAAACTTGAAATGCAGACAAGAGTCCTCTACATAACATTTTTTATCAGATTTTAATAAAGGTGAAGACCTATTTTCTTTTCCATGAATTTAAAGACTGATCTATGTTGTTTTGTTGCTTTGATGTTAGTAAGAAATAATTCTTGTATGACTGTTGGATTCTTCTGACTAGCATTTTGAGGTTACTTCAAAGTGGTTGAGTGTAGATATGATTTATATTGTTTGTTTACCTTGAGTAGCTTATAGGTCATGTGTCTCAATATGGAACTGGTATCAAGGTCCAATAAGTTTTACTTTTGAATAAGGAGCCCAAGGAGTATAGGAGGCTGCTCATATATGTTCAGTCTTTAGGGTTTATTCCTTTGCCAATATCTAGGATATGCAAAAAGATGCTTTGTGTCAATCCTTGTGGAGATTCCAGGGGCTGTAAACAGTTCTGACTGTGTTAAAAGAATCCCCAAATAAAGGAAAAATTCTGATGTTTCTTGGGATAGTGCTCAAATTTAGGGTCATCAGTGGCTTGAGAGGCTCTCAAGTTGGTATCTCCAGATCCTCCAGGTGCCAGGAATTATATGGGCTAGAAAAGAACCCTGTAATACTGTTATCTGTTGGTAGGGCCATCTCTAGAGAAGCCAACAAATTACGAGTGCTTTCTACCTCTAATTAAATCAGATCAAATGCCAAACTTATCTTTGTCTGTTTTAAATCAAACAGACTAAGGCTAGGTATTGACAATGACTTGTTTCCAAAGTAGATTGGCTATTGATTATGCCATAGTAAAATTTAGGATATTGTATTTGTTACTTTTGAATCATATTCAGTGGCTTAGAGGATGATAGTGGAAAGAAAACCCAACCAAATTCAGTCACGTGAGGCTTTCTTGGTACCCCAGATAGAAAACTTTTATTCGCTTGTTGGCCTTTCTGGTCATGTTTCATGAAAATCACATTATCTTCCTCCAAAAACAGCACAGCTAATATGACCTTGGGCATATCTAGCTAATATATGGTCTACTATAAGTTCTGAGATCACCTCTACCTTAATAAATAATGGAAGAAAATAATGGGAGACTGGAACAACAGACTCCTGCCAGAATAAGCAACCTCCTTACTGGCAGGTAATTGGCTACTTTGGGCTGCGGAGAAAGCTGCTAGCCCAAAGGCAAATTTCAATTATATGTGAAATGGAATAAGCCATTTTGCAGTTTCTGCCCCACAGAATGGCATATCTTCTAATCTTCATTAAATGGGACACAATAAGCCTTGCCTCTTTACTGTCCTTTCCAGAATTCTAGGATTATGAAAGTTAGCCTGCTGCCACCAAGGAGGTTGACTAGTCATTTTGAATAAATGTCACCTTTTGCTTTCTTTTTTTGGTTGCATATTGCTAATTCTTGTGATTTTTTTTTTTTTCCCACCAAGGACTATGATGCCTTCTTTGAAGCCAGAGAAAACAATGCAGTGTATGCCTTTTTAGGCTTGACAGCCCCACCTGGTTCAAAGGTATGGTTTTCCTGCTTTATAGGCCATTTTATTGCTGCTGATCTTTTTAATTGTAAGATTTTCACTTTTATTAAGTACTCATTTTAAGCCAGAGGCCATACAACATAACTGAAAGGAAACGTTCCTGCTCTGCACGCACTTAATCCCTAGCAGGGCAGTCGGAGGTTGTGCATAATCAAATACATAAGTATGTCAGTAAGAGGTAGGTAGAGTGATTTCTTCATCAGTCTGCTTGAGGCAGTAAATTTCTCACTGACCCATTTGCAAATAAGTGCTAAGCACTTTAAAGACTCCATTATGCCAGCTGTCATTAACATTTCTACATCAATATAAAGCATCTTAGTTCATAGTAATCTTCTTGGCTGCATCTACAGTCTTTGTGTGAGGCAAATGTTAGAGTAATCCATTCAAATTAACTGAGGTATTTGAGTTTCAAAATTGCTCATTAAATTGCTGGCTAAATTTGGGGCTTTTTCTCTGCCAACAACAAATTGATTTTTCAAGTAGCAGTGTTCTCATGAACACTTTATTATATAAAGAAAATAATAAAAAATTAAATTGCCTATGTAATGAAATGTCTCAAAGCTATGGACATTAAATATATCTGCCTTTTACTGCAGGTCTTCTCCACATTGGCTGGCTTGTCAGAATGTATGTCCCCTTTTCCATCAGTTTACATTTTGCTATTAGGAACTGATTTTATGTTGAACAGATTCATTAAACTCCAGCTCTTTCTCCAATTTCAAAAGTCTGTGTTATTGTTTATGTTTTCACTAGAAAGCATTTACAAGCATTGTTATCTGAACCACTGTGATATTCTGTTTCTTTGTCAAACTTAAATTTGCTTATTTTAGGCTTCGTGTAATTTAAGTCATAAGAAATGTTAGGTAAGGCATTTTTGTTTAAGCAAGTTAGTAAAACCCAAGTCATTGATTTCAGTACATAGTTTAGGAAGTATAAAAGAGAATAGTCTATTTTATGTGACAATGACTCCCTCTCCTTCAATTAAAAGTAGCAGTCACTCATTCATTTTTTCATTCAACAAGTATTTATTGAATGTCAAGCACTGAGTTGGCCTTGATGATGGGGAAAATACAGAGAATACATTGTAGTCCCTACTTTCAGAGTTTTTATAATCTAGTGAGGGGCAGTATACAAATAATTATACAACATATATGTGTACAAATAATTATAATTTAAGACATGTGAAAACAATTAAAAGGACATATTATGGCAAATTCTATACAGTTGGCTGTAATTAAGTGCTATATGTGTCCAGAGGAAATAATCATACGTTACTAGTAAGGAGTTTAGGGAAGAGATCACAGAGGATGTGACATTAGAGCTGTTAGGGATTCCAAAACTCTGAAGTGACACTAAGGCATCTTTTACAGAAGCAGCAACAGAAACCACTGCATTGGGAAGTGCCTGCACATGATGGTAGAGCAATCACCTCTTATTTACAGGGGATACATTCAAAGACTTCCAGCGGATGCCTGAAACCGTGGATAGTCTTGAACCTTATATATATACTATGATTTTTCTTATACATACATACCTATGATCAAGTTTAATTTATAAATTAGGCACAGTAAGAGAGTAACAACAACAAAAATAATAAAATAGAACAATGATAACAACATGCCGTAATAAAAGTTATGTAAATGTGATCTCTAACAATTTCTTATTGTACTGTACTTACCTTTTCACATAAAGGAAGCACTTTACGGCTGTTTTAAAATCATATTCAAACTACCAGCAATAGTACTCTTGCACTTTGGGGCCATTATTAAGTAGAATAAGGTTATTTGGACACAAGCACTGCAACACTATGGCAGTTGATCTGATAACTGGGACAGCTGCTAAGTGACTACTGAGCAGATATGGTATGCAGTGTAGATACACTGCAAGGGGGATTCATGCCCTGGGTAGGACAGTTTTTTCCAAGGCTCTCTTTCTGCTTTTGACTATTGTTAGTAATTTAAGCTAATATAGTCCAGCCAAAATACACATGGGTGTCTGTTTTGTGATATTTAAATCTTACTGTTTTGTTTTTTTTCGTTTCAGGAAGCAGAAGCTCAGGCAAAGCAGCAAGCATGAACACTAAACATCCTGCCTTAAGCATCTTGGAAAAGGAGTCTTCATTGTTTTTATAAAATAGCAGAATTATCTTGGCTTCAGAAGAAATAGGCTTAGTGTTGAAATAATAGATTAGTTGGTATTTTCGCATGCAAACAATCAAAATGATGTTGAAAATCGTTTAAATGTGAATATTATGATGAGGAGAATGTGAGATGAACATAAAATTTTAAGTAGATGTCATGGAATAGTTTTGTTATCTGCCAAGGCATTTTATGTACTTCAATGATCTTAAAAAGCAAACACTTGTGTACTTTGTTGGTGTTATTATTGCAGCTTAAGTATATCTGTAGCTCTACATTGAGGAATTTGAAAAGGAGAGTGAGAAAGAATTTATCTTTTGTTCCCCAATTGCCTCATTAATTTTAGTAAACAAAAACATACGTCTTTTTAATGTGATGTTATTGTGACTAAAAAGTAGTTTCAGGTAATTTTTGTGATATGGAAGACATTGTAATTTTCTATGGTAATTATAACATTCCCATTTTTTTGTAGTTGAAACTTCTATGTACTGAACTACAGGTTTTCCAGGCTTCTAAATGTAGCCTTTCATTGCATATTTCAGTGAGCAAAACAGTTGACTCCCACCAAAAAAAAAAAAAAATAGATGCATTCAGTTGACAAATTTCTTGTTTAACTACTCAGCTATGATGTAATCATTTTTTAAGTTCTTTGTCCCAGTGAAATATGAATATGTATGTTATAGAAGTGGGATGGTGAGTACATTTAAAGCGACATCCTTTTGTAAAGAGCTCAGACTTTTAATGAACTGTTATAAAATAGGTAAACATTCACTGCTTAAGTCTATTTTGGGGGTCTTCGCTAACAGTGCCTTATTGGTTTCCCCCTATTAAAACAAATTGTGATCACAAATGCCACTATCTCTCAGATATTTGACTTTAGTATTTCAGCATGGCCACATATAGTATGAATACATTAATCTAAGTATAGAGAATATTTTCTATGCCTTTATTCCAGTGAATAGCACAAGTATCAGGTAAAAGGGTCAGTTTTTAAAATGTGAATTCTAAGAAGACAAGAAACATCATGGCCTAAATCACTTACCCAGAAGATACATATATTGTACTTTAGTTCCACACTACTTTATTAATAAAACATATTTTAAAAGTATGTTATATCATTTGATATATTCAAGTCTGTGCTCTTTGTTAAAATCAACATATAATGAAAACATGGCTTTGTTTACTGAGATTCAAACTTGATGTGATGCTTTAAAATAAACTCAGTACTTTGAGAAATATAATTGATGTGTTCCTGGAGTTTCTAAATAGTTTAATAGTAATTTTAGATGAGTAATGCATATTTTTAATAGAGATAATAACAAAGAATGCCCTGGCCAGTTTGGCTCAGCGGTTGGAGCGTCTGCCTGCAGATCAGAGTCCTGGGTTCAGTTCCTGCTAGGGGCACGTACAAAAATAATAATAAAAAAATTAACAAAGAAAACGATTTGAATGCAATTTTGAAATTTCCTTTTTAGGGTCCTGAATTTTGCAATACACACTGGAGTCAAAGAAATACTCTATTGTTTTTTGTACAAAAATATGCTCTGGAGAATGCTAGAGAAAAAACGGTGCTTTGTAATTGACTCTGGAAAATGTTTTAAAAATTTGGTCAATATTTTTTCCTGATCTTTATTAAATGCTGCTGATGATACTTGCAATATTTTATGTGGACATTTTTGCTTTTATTTTAGTATACAATAAGTTAGCACTGTCAAAAACAGTCTTTAAAAATAGATTCTTTTTGAGGTGTTTCTATCTACTAGACTGTACCTTACAATTTATTTTACTTATTTTTAATTTATATTTATATTTTTATTTTTGATACATGCCCCTAATGGGAACCGAACCTGGGACTCTCTGGTCCGCAGGCCTATGCTCCAACCGCTGAGCCAAACTGGCCAGAGCTGTACCTTACAATTTAAAGTAAAAGTTTGGATTTAGTCTTCCTAAATGAACTCATTCATTTTGTTAACAGAACACTATATATCTGGTAGATACAAGAAAAGGAAGTGAAATTGATTATTAAGGTAAGTTTTATGAAGTATTTTCACAAAATTTGCAAGCAAATATAACTGGTGCTATTTGTTATATTACTTTTAGCATCTTTCTGTGTACAACTCAGATCTGCTAATATTTTATTTTTCATTTTAGAGGTGTATTGCCCTTAAGAATATATGACCTTCAAGAAGATTTCCATTTTCACCAAACAATACAAATTGGTTGTTGATTGTATTGTTAAATGTCAGCACTTCTTTGGGAATCTGAATGTACAGAGAAACAGAATTTTAAAACAGAGATGGTTAATTACTTGCTTGGGAAAATCTAAATATAGAGAATTTTATTGAGTTAGATTTAATTGCACATATTCCACTAATTCAGCAAAAAGATAAAGAAAGGTTCACATGACTTTTATTACTCAGTTATGGATATTGAAAATATAGAAGGATTGGCATTGGTCTTATTTTTTCTTTTCTTTTGAAAAATTCTAATGAAACTGATTAAGAAACATTCACATTTGATTAATTTGAACATTCTGGTTTTCCATCCCTACCTCCCCTACCTCATCTCTGAATATTATCAGTCATCTCCTTTTATGAAGCAAACAAAATTTGAATTTCTACTTAAATAATAAACATACTATTTATACAATTGTTATTTTAGCATAATTTCTCATTTAACATATTTATTGATATATAATTCACATACCATAAAATTTATCCACTTAAAGTGTACAATTTGAAGATGTTTAGCATATTGGGAGTTGTAAAACCATCACAATTTAAGTTTAGAACATTTCATCACCGAACAAATAAACTTTGTATTTATTAGCAGTCATTCTCCATCTATCCCTCCCTCAGTGCTGTACAATCACTAATCTACTTTCTGTTTCTATGTATTTACTTATTATGAATATCTCACATAAATAAAATCATACAATATCTGTTTTTTTGGGACTGGCTTTTTTGAGGTACTATGTTTTTCAGCTTCATCCATGTTATAGGATGAATCAGTACTTCCTTTCTTATTGCCAAATAATATTTCATTATTTTGATATAATCATCATTTAAAATTTTTTTGTGTCTTTATTGATTTTAGGGGGCCACTTCCTGCATGCCCCCACTGGGGATTTGGCCCACAACCTGGGCATGTGCCCTGACCAGGAATCAAACCAGCGACCTCTTGGTGCATGGGTCGATGCTCAACCACTGAGCCACACCAGCTGTGCTAATCATCATTTTTTAAAATACATTAATCAGTTGACAGACTTTGGGTTGTTTCCACTTTTGGGCTATTATGCATAATGCTGCTACAAATATTCACTTTTTTTGTTTCAAAGTGTGTTTTTAGTTTTCTGGAGTGTATAGATAAGTCATATGGTAGTTCTATGTTTAAAAATTTGAGGCTCTGCCAAAATTTTCCAAAATTACTGCACTATTTTACATTCCCACCAGCAGTGTATGAGGGTTCCAATTTCTTCATTTTCTGGCTGACAGTTGTTTTTTGTCTTTTTTAATATAGTCATTTTTATGGCTGTAAATTAATATCTCATTATAATTGTGATTTGCATTTCTCTGATGACTATGTTGAGCATCTTTTCATGTGATTATGATTATTTATATTTCAACTAGGTTATATTTCTTTTTATTGTTGAATCAGATATGTGATTTGCAAATATGTTCTCCCATTCCATGGACTGTCTTTTTCTTTTCTTTTTTATATTTATATTATGTGAATTTATTTTTTCAATTACAGTTTACATTCCATGTTATTTTGTATTAGTTTCAGGTGTACAACATAGTGTTTAGACAATCATACACTTTACAAAGTATTTCCTGTGATATTCCAGTGCCCACCTGGCACCATATTTATTACAATATTACTATATTTCCTATACCGTACTTAACATCTCCATGACTGTTTTGGAACTACCAATTTGTACTTCTCAATCTCTTCACCTTTTTCCCTTAGTTTCCCAGTGTCACTCCCCTCTGACAACCATCATTCTGTCTTCTTTGTCCTCTAGTCCATTTATGTTTTCTTTGTTTGTTTATATTGTTCTCTCTATTCCACATATAAGTGAAATCATGTCTTTGTCTTTCTCTGACTGACTTTTATTTCACTTAGCAAAATACCTTCCACGGAGGTTGGAGGACTGGGTGAAAGAAAGTATTAAGAAGTACAAATTGGTAATTACAAAATAGTCTTGGGGATGTAAAGTACAGATAGGAAATATAGTCAATAATATTGCAATAACTATGTATGATACCAGGTGGGTACTGGGCATATCAGGGTGAACACTTTGTAAAGTCTATGATTGTCAACTTCCATGCTGTATACCTGAAACCAATGCAAAATACTATTGGAAATGAACTATAATTGAAAAATAAAAAGTATAGAAAAGGAATGTGAGGTTAAGCCATAGAATTGAAGAAAATGTTTGCAAATCACATACTTTATAGAAGATTTGTATATGAAATATATAAAGAACTCTTAATAATTAGAAAACAAAAGAAATAAAACATGGGAAATAGATTTGAGCAGATACATCACCCATGAAGAAATGTGGTTGGCAAATGAGCACATAAAAGTGTCTTACATCATTAATCACTAGAGAAATGCACACCTATTAGAATGTGCACAATGAAAGGGCTGACTATGCCAAATATTAGTGAGGGTGTGGAGGATCTGGAACTCTCTTATACTGCTGATGGGAATGTAAAATGGTACAAACATTTTGGGGAACTGTTTGGCAATTTTTTAAAAAGTTAAACATTCATCTAATGTATGACCTAGTCATTCCAGTCCTAGGAATTTACCCAATAGAAATGAAAGTATAACTCCACAAAAAGACTTGTACATGAATGTTTAAAGCAGCTTTAATTGTAATAGTTAAAAGTTGGAAATAATCCAAATGTAAACAATGGGCCAATGGACAAACAATGCTGGTGTATTCATACACTGGAATACTACTCAGCAGTAAAAAGGAATAAACTATTAATAGATGCCACAACATGATTCAATCTCAAAAAAAATTATTCTGAGTGAAAGAAGCCAGAAAATGGATAGTACATAATGTATGATTCAATTTATATAAACTTTAAAAACCACAAATAAATGTATAGTGACAGAAAGCAGATAAGTAGTTGCCTGGAGTTGGGCGGGGGGCAGGACAGGAGAGAGGGTTTACAAAGGGTTCCTAAGAAACTTTTTAAAGTGATGGATATGTTCATTCCCTTTATTGCAGTGATGGTTTTATGGGTGTATACATATGTACAAACTTAGAAAATTGTACAATTTAAATATGTGCAGTTTATTGTATGTCAATAAAACTGTTAAAAAGGAAAAAAGATAAAGTGAGTTTCTTGTAGACAACATGTATTTAGATTTTGGTTTTTAATCCATTATGTCAACTTCTGCTCTTTTATTGGAGTTTAATCCATTTACATTGGAAGTAATTACTAATACAGTAGAACTTCTATTTTGCTATTTTTGATATGTCTTATACCATTTTTGTCCCTCATCTCCTCAATTGTAGCCTTCATTTGTATTTTATTTTTATAATATATTGTAGGGACATTTAATTCCCTTCTCATTTCCTTTTGTGTATATTTGAAATATTTTTGTGGTTACCAGAGAGATTACCATTAATATTCTAGATTTATAACAATTTAGTTAGAATTTATACCACCTTAACTGAAATAGCATATAAAAATTCTGCTCTTATACAGGTTTTACCTAAAACCCCTTTATGTCATCACAATTGCATCTTTATACATTATACATGATACATTATACAATATACATTATACATGATAACACAGGTCATTAATTTTATGCATTTATTTTTTAAATCAGATGAGAAATAAAAAAGAAGTTTTAAACAAAAATTAAATAATATTAGTTTTTATATTTACCTGTGTAAATTCCTACATAGTTATGTTTTACTTCTTTGTTTGGCCTGGAGTAGCACACTCCTCAGCTTTTGTTTATCTAGGAAAGTTTTGACTTTTCCTTCATTAGAGCAGTATAGTTTTGCTGAATATAGAATTTTTGATTGATAGTATGTTTTTAAGCACTTTAAATACATTCCACTCACTGCCTTCTAGTTTTCATGAAATCTGATGAGAAAATGGCTGTTGATCATTGAGGATCTCTTGTAGTAATGACTTCCTTCTCTCTTGCTGCATTCGAGTTTTTTTCTTTTTTCCCCGTCCCCCTGCACCTTGACGGTTTAATT